GTGCCAAGGATTGTTTGATCCACAACGCAACAGAGAACGGCACAATTCATCACAGCCTGCCGCAACAGTGCAGCACAGATCGTACCAATCGCAATGTACACCAAATCGTAGTCGTAGCCCTTCTTTGACACCTCGGAGTGCGGCTCCCTCGTCGAGAGACGCCATCTCGCTCCAGGGTGGTAAGTTTGTCTTGCCCCGCTTCGTGTGAGGTCGGTTCGGCCTTCGTATCATTTCGATTCGTCTTGATGCAGTTCGTCGCGTTTTGGTTCGCCGTGCTTCGGTTCGTCCATTCTCGTTGCGTTTCCCCTCGGTTCTGGGTCGCCCCCTCTTGGCTCGTCTTGCTACGGAACTGAAACAGATCTTGGGCTCGAGTAGGGCGAGCGCCCCACGCGGTTCGACTGTAAGCATCTCGAGTTTTGCGTTCGGGCAACTCGAACTTAAGATCCAGATCTGTTCGGGCAGGAGTATGACGCCAAGGACGACCTGACCCACAATTGATCAGAGCATAACACAAGTCAACGCGGCATCGCGCATTCCAGCTCATTGCAGCGCAGCTTAGCGCAGCCCCTGGCACGGTAACCTCGGCGAGCTGCAAGTGACGCGTGCACCATTTGTTTGGCACATAGGGCGAGCACGGCTATGCCGCTACAGTGCTAACGCATCATGAACATGACCCGAACAGGACCCAGAACCTTACTACTCGTATGACTAGCACGACTACAACGAGCATTGCGACGTTACACTCACTACGACCACCACCAATACTATTCAAAAGCACGAGTACATATATTTACTACTACTACTACTACTACTACCACTACTACTACTACTACTACTACTACTACCACTACTACTACTACTACTTCTACTACTACTACTACTACTACTACTACTACTACGACTACTACTACGACTACGACTACGACTTCTACTACTACTACGGCTACTACGACTACTACGGCTACTACTACGACTACTACTACTATTTTTTCTACTACGACTACTACTACTACTACTACTACTGCTACGCCGACTCTACCAGTACTACTACTAATACTGCAGTACCACTACTACCACTATCATTCTTACCACCACTACTACTACTACCACTACTACGACTACTACTTCTACTACTACTACTACTACTACTACTACTACTACTACTCATACTACTACTCCTACTCATACTACTACTCCTACTACTACTATGACGACGATCACTATTATCATTATCCGTGTTACAGCTAGTTTTACTATTGCTACGACTACGACGACTACTACTACTACTACTACTACTACTACTACGACTACCCCTACCACTACCCATAATACTCCGATGACTAGTCGTCGTACGAATGGTACTAGTACTTCCACTCCTATGTCAGTTATAACCAGTACTACTACTACGATTACTACTACTACTACTACTACTGCTACTACGGCTACTATTACTACTACTACTACTACTACTACTGCTGCTGCTGCTACTACTACTACTACGACTACTACGACTACGGCTATCACCACTTCTACTACTACCACGACCATGCTACTACTTCTATTACTACCACGACCACCATCATCACTCTGAGTTTACAACCACCAGCACTTTTACTGTTAGTGTTATTTCCATCGCTACGATCACCACGCTTACTAGTACTTCTTTTTACTGCTAGTACTGCTAGTACAAGTACGACTACTACTACGACTATTGCCGCTGTTGTTGTTATTGCCATGACCACGACTGTACTACGACTACGATGTTTAGTATTATTAAGTATGTTGATTACCATTACGAGGCCTACACATACCAGTTTTCCGGTTTTACCACGGATGCGACTACTACGGCCGCCGTTTGCTACCAGTGTCATTAGTATTACTACTACGACTGCCATTACACCTACTACTACGACCACTACGACCATAATTGCTACTACTACTACTACTACCACTACCACGACTACGACTAAGACTACCATCCTTATTACTGCTCCCATTACTACCGCTACTACTACTATTACTACTACTACTACTACTACTACTACTACTACTACTACTACTACTACTACTACTAGTACTACTAGTACTACTACTACTGCTACTACTACTACGACGCCGACCACTTTTTTACGATTCGTATACTTGAACAAACATTCCCGCTACGTTGACCACGGTGGCGGTGACGACGATGAACACCACGAACACTTGTAGACCTTGCTGCTGCAGCCAGTATTTTGTCAGACCATTCCTAGTTTTAGTTCTATTACCACTACTGGTACTACTACCATCACTACTACTACTACTACTACTACTACTGCTACTACTACTACTACCACTACTACTACTACTACTACTACTACTATTGTACTACTCCTACTACTACTACTACTACCACTACTACTACTACTACGACTACTACTACTACTACCTACTACTACTACTACTACTACTACTACTACCACTACTACTACTACTACTACTACTACTACTACTACTACTACTACTACTACTACTACTACGACTAGTACGACTACTGCTTCCACTCCTATCACGACGGTGGCTATTATTACTACTACTACGACCACTACTACACTACTACGACGACCACGACGACGACGACGACTACTACTACCATATGTAAACTTCCACGACTATTGTTATTACTATCATTCGTTTGATTACTAATGCTAATACTACTATTATTATTTCTTTCTGGCTACGACTACCCGTGCTGATACTATGACAACTATTATTACGACGACGGCGACTGGTACTACTACTACTACTACTACTACTACTACTACTACTACTACTACTACTACTACTACTACTACTACTATACTACTACTACTACTACTACTACTACTACTACTACTACTACTAATACTACTGTTACTACTACTACTACTACTACTACTACTACTACTACTACTACTACTATGACTACTTATGACTACTACTACTACTACTACTACCACTACTACTACTACTACTACTACTACTACTACTACTACTACTACTACTACGACTAGGACTGCTACAATTTCTACTGCTACTACTACTACTACTACTACTACTTCTACTAGTACTACTACTACTACTACTACCTACGAGTACTACTACTACTCTGGACGACGACTACCACTACTACTACTACTACTACTACTACTACTACTACTACTACTACTACTACTACTACTACTACTACGACTGCTGCTACACCTACTACTACTATTACTACTACTACTACGACCACTACTACTACCTCTCGTACAACTGCTACTTCTACTATTACTAGTACCACTACTCTTACTTGTACTACGATTGCGATTCCTATCCCTATGCTTCCCCACCTGCTGAGACCGATTACTTCTACTCTATCGAGGGCTCCTGCTGCTGCGACTGCTTCTACTACGACGATTACTAGCCTGACAAATGCGGCGGCTATTTCTATTGTACGACGACGACGGCGACGATTACGACTACTACTGCTTTCACGGCGATTGATTTTTCTGTTTTAAACAGAACAGCCTTCGGCATTCAGCCCACCTCCAGAAGCGGTAGACGGAGTCAACGTTATGCATCTCTTTTAAGCTTGATTGAAGCTTTTGTAAGCAGTCCAATGGCCTTCGGCACATCCCGCCACCTCGCCTGGCTCGTAGGTCAGAGGCTTCTTGGGCCCCAGCTGGTGTCTCTTGGGAAGCCTCTGGGGAGTTTCTTGCAGGCAGTTCTGATGCCTCTTGGGGACAGTTTGGGGCCTCCGGAAACCTCTGATCGGCCTTTTGTACGCCTCTTTTGATTGCTTGGTGGACGCAGCCGGAAAGATGTATCGGGGACGAATGCGGACGGTGCCACGAGGATCTTCGGTGAAGCTCCCTGAGGAGCCACGAAACGTGTGAGGGATGTGCCAGAATTGGTGGCGGGGGTGCGTGCGAATGTTGCCACTAGGACCTTCGGTGGAACTCCCTGTAGGGCCACCAAACGTGTGAGGGGTGTGCCGAAGTGGGTGGCGGGGACGCATGCGGCCGGTGCCACCAGGACCTTCGGGGGAGCCCCTTTCATAGGGGCCACGAAACGTGTGAGGGGTCTGCAAAAATGAGTGGCGGGGATGCATGCGGACGGTGGCATTGGGGCCTCCGCCGGAGATCCTCATGGGGCCACAATGCGTGTGAGGGGTGTGCCGAAATGGGTAACGGGGACGCGTGCGGACGGTGCCACCAGGACTTTCGGTGGAGCTCCACATGGAGCCACGAAACATGTAAGGGCTGTGTCGTCAAAGCTGGTGGCGGGTACGCATGCGGACGGTGTCACTGGGACCTAGGGTGGAGCCTCCTTCTGGGGCCACGAAACGTGTGACGGGTGTCCCGAGATGGGTGGAGTTGTCGCGCGCGAACGGTGCCACTGGGACCTTCCTTGGCGCTCTCTCTGGGGCCACGAAACGTGTGAGGGGTGTGCCGAAGAGGGTGGCGGGAGTGTATGTGGACGATGCCATTGGGACTTTCGGTTGGAGCTCCTTCTTGGGCTACGGAATGTGTGAGGGGTGTGCCGGAAATGGGTATCGGGAGCGAATGCGGACGGTGTCACTGGGACATTCTGTGGATTTCTTTATGGAGCCACGAATCGCGTGAGAGGTGTGCCAAAATAGGTGGCGGGGACGCATGCAGACGGTGCCATTGGGACTCTCGGTGGAGCTCCTGATGGGGCCACGACGCGTGTGAGGGGTGTTGCCGAAATTGTAGACATGCGGAGGGCAGAGGCAAGGATGGGAAGATGGAGGAGGAAGCGGGAGGAGGTGGCGGGAGGGAGGGAGGCACGCGGGGCGATTTCTTTCCAAAGCGAGGACCCGACATCACAGGATGGCTGGGAACGCACACGCACACCTGGGTGTGTATCCGTAGTTTCGGCTTCAGGTGGCTCGAGGTTGGCCCCCTGTGCCTCTGCAAGTTGCCGCCCAGGCCGCCGCAGCGCCGCACTCCTCCAGGCCACCGGGTGCTCCTGCGATGCCCGCTGCCCGGTGGCTGGTCGGCGCCGTGCTCGCCGCCGCGTGCCCGCTGGGCTCCTGCGAGGTCCGCCGCTTCTCCTGGGCGGCGCCCGCGGAGCACCCGCACCTGCGCCGCCTGACCGCCAGCGGCTCGGCCCCGGACACGCTGAACGTCACCCTGGACATCGTGAAGCTGGACACCTTCGGCGTGGAAGGGGCGAAGATGGACGTCAGCTTCCTGAGGGAGGACGGCGCTCGCATCCGCCTCTACTTCCCCGGCACTGAGGGGAATCAGGGGCGGAACATGCCGCACTGGCTCCAAATGAACCGTGCGGTCACCCTCGTCGGCCATGCGGAGAACGATGCGCTGGCCGCGCAGCAGGAGAGGGACGAGCTCGACAACCTCGAGATGTCCGCTGGCCTCACGCCGCTGGGGGCAGACGGGATGGAGGTTTTCGACACCCGGGAGCTCTTCGTTGTAGAGGCCGCCCAGGGTGAGGTGGACTCCGAGGAGTTCGGGGCCAACGCTTCGCGCCGCTTGTCCAGCGGCCTTGCGCCGACCGTGCTGGACACCGTGGTGGTCCTCATCTCTCCCTGCGGAGAGAAGCTGGTGCACTCCACCCCGCACGGCGTGCAGAGCGCTGTATTCAGCAACGGCGCCGGCTCTGTCAACAGCATCCTCAAAGATTGTGCCTCCGTCAGCAGCGTGAAGGACATCTCTGTCACGGGAGACGTCATCGGACCTATCGAGATATGCCCGTCGAGCAGAGACATGTACGCAGTCACCGCAGCGTGCAATGATCACCTGAAGAATGACCCGAGGTGGACCGGCAACTACTATAAGGCCATGGTACTTCCAGACGACTGGCTCGGCAACGCGGCGGGCATGGGCGAGCTCAAGGGACCCAACACGTGGTACCGCGACAGCGTTACTCAGGGCTCTTCTGTGTTCATCCACGAGTACGGGCACAATTTCGGGCTCCACCACGCCAACGGCAAGTACATCTGGCATGAGTATATGGACTGGAGCTCCGCGATGGGCAATCCCATGACTGGCAGGTGCTTCAACTTCCTGCAGCAGTGGCAGCTCGGCTACTCGGCATTCATGGACCAGGATGTCAGCGTGGAGCAGATACTGGCTGGCAGCGAGGTCCCCCTCACACTGCCCGAGGTGGGAGTGCACCACCAGAGCGGTGTGAGGCTCAACCTGCCGCCCCCGGCGGACGGCACCCTGACCTTCGGCGACGAGCCCTTCCTGGTGCTGTCTTGGCGCAGCCGTGGCGGCTTCGACAAGCACATCAGCAGCAGCAGCTCTGCCAACAGGGTCTACGTGCACCAGTGGTCCGGCGACCAGGCGCGCAGCATGCAGACGCTGCAGCTGCATGCGGCGGAGCGCGGCACCACCACGCTCATCGAGTACACCGAGCCGCAGGAACTGCGAACCTCGGTGCCGACGGGCATCAAGATGACGGTGATGGGATCAACGTACGTCTGGCAGAACGAGAAGATTGAAGTCGTATTGTGCGCGGCTACCGACGCCGACCTCGCGGGCAACCTGAACCCCTGCAGCAGCGCCACTACCACGACCACCACCCCTCCGCCGCCTCCGCCCCTGCCGCCTAGCACGTGGGGCGCGTCTTTTTCGAGCGAAGCGACATCACAGCAGGTCTCGTGCAGTGGCGTGCTCGTAGGCATGGATTGCAGTGGGCAGTATTGCGGCACCCAGAGGTACAAGTGCAGGACGGACATCACGACCTCAGCTGCTGGCGCTAGCACCATCATGGTAGAGACGGACACTGGCAACGCATTCTGCCCTGCTGGCCAGGTTGCGACCCGGGTCACGTGCGTCGGGGCCAGTTGCCGCAAGTTCATGCTGCACTGCAACGCCCCGACGAACGCCGAGATCTGGCCCTCAGGATGGACAGGTGGTGGTGCGGGTTGGTTCCCGCCTGCGTTGCACGGGATTGGGGAGGGTATCTGCGACGAGGGGCGTGGAGTGATCATCGGCATTTATTGTGGCGCTGCGCAGTGTGGCCGCAAGATGTTCCTTTGCGCCGACTGGAAGCAGGAGCCGCCAGCACCGACGGCGGAGCCGACTGCGACGCCCGCGCCGATGACGGAGCCGACTGCGACGCCCAGTCCGACTCCGACCTGCATCCCAGTCTGCATGTCGCAGGGGCTCGTGTGTGGAGACGACGGCTGCGGTGGCTCGTGTGGCCAGTGCTCGTCGCCGGAGTACTGCGTCAATAGCACTGGCCAGTGCGGCGGGGCGTACCTGATGTCCGCGTGGGGCAGCTCGGAGGCCGCGATCCCAGACGGAAATCTCACCGCCACGGGCCTGTCGTGCCAGGGCGACTACTGCACCTCAGTCCAGCTCACTCTCCTTGGCATCGTCACGGACGCGACGACTGTGGAGTACTCGGCGTGGCTGTCGGACAACCTGGGCGCGAAGTACGTGTGGAACGAAGGCGAGGAGGCCGGCGGGTATGTAGCCGACTGCCCCGAGGACAAGGTGGTGTCGAACATCGAGTGCCAGGGCAAGTATTGCGACAACATCCGCATGCACTGCGCGACGCCTCTGCATTACGTTGTTGACATGGGGGCCGCACCCTGGCACTCCGATTGGTTCAGCGAGGAGGAGGGTCGCGTGGACTGCCCGGAGGACTACGCCATCACTGGCATCGAGTGCAGGCAGCACGAGGGTTTCTTCTGCCTGTTTAAGTGCGGCGACTACTGCGACGACAAGCGCCTGAGGTGCAGCGCGATCAAGCCCGCGGCGGTGGGCAAGGCAGCGACCGGCATCCTGTCGTACTCTCAGCTGGCCGAACGCATCCAGGACGGCAGCCTCGAGCAGGGTGAGAAGCTGACCGCGCCCAGCCACGATGGCCTGGTCTCTGCTGCACCAGGGCGCGGGCTGGGCGCGGCCCTCGTGGCCCTCGTGGCCCCCCTGGCCGCCGGAGTGGAAGCGCTGTGAGGTCGAAGAGCGCAAAATTGCCCCAACACGAGCTTTCCCAGCCGCGCGTGGAGTCCTCAGGTCGGCGCCGAGCCCCCCTCCTATGGCAGCGTCTCCGGCGCCGCCCCCTCGGCGCGCTCTGAGCGCCGGGAGAGCGAGGGTGCAACGCCGATCCAAGGAGCCCGCGCGGACCCCCGGAAGTCTGCTCGTGCCGTGCGTACGGTCGGGAACTTTGTCTTGCTGTGTCGCGCCGCCAGTTCTGGCCCACCCCGACGACGACGACGACGAGGACGACGACGACGACGACGACGGACGACGACGACTTCGACGACGACGACGATTTGAACGACGACGACAGCGGACGACGACGACGACGCCGACGACAACGCCGACTACCCCCCAGTTCTGTGTGGAACTTCCTCTTGCCGTATCCACGCCCTAGCTGCCCAGCTCCGACGCTGCGAGCGACTCCCAGCCTCCCGCCCCGGCGGAGCGGAGCGACGCGCTGCCCGCCCGCAGGGCACGGCGTGTCGCCAGGGCCGCCGCGGCGGCACGCCCGGCAGAAGTTCCCGACCGCAGCCCGCCCCGTGGAGAGGGCGCCCTCCCGCGCGGGGCCCTCCGAGCGACGACCGCCCCGCGGGGTGGCGGCTGCTCCGCGGCGGGGCGGCGGCTGCCAACCGCAGTCAGGAACTTTGGCTCAGCGTGTCGCGCCGCTGGTTCTGGTCAACCACGCCTCGGCGCGACGTGCTATCTTCGTCGTTGCCCCCAGTCGTCAGCGTCCCGCGCTGTTCCCAGCCCTCCGCCCCGCCCGCCGGAGCCTCACGCTATCCACTCGCAAGGGAAAGCGTGTCGCCCAGGCCGCCGCCGCGACACGCCAAGCAAGAGTTCCTGACAGTAGAGCTTTTTGTGAGCCCCGGCAGGCACGCCCATTAATTGGTCAATCAATTATCGTTTTCCTTGTGTCCGTCTTCCCCCCTGCTGTTGTTTTGCTCTCTCCCCTCGTCTTCTTTCTTCCTCCTCCTCCTCCTCCTTGCAGCGCAAGCTGTGCTGAGTTTGTTTTCCCGCCCACGCGCCGGACGGTGTATGGCTTGAGTGCGAGTGCGAGTTCGCAGCCGTGCTCCTGTCGGGGTTGAGCTTAGTAGTTCCTCTTTTCATCCGCAGTCGCGCCCTGCCTCTGGTCGCGGTGGCTCTTGGCCCTGCCGCTGGTCGCGGTGTGTGTCGAGCACGGTTTGCCTGAAGCTGCTGTCTTCTCTCCCGCAGAGGGTGCCGCTTCATTCCCGCCAGAGGATGCCGTTTCTTGCCTCGAGCCTCCTACTCTCGTTCTGCCCGAGGGCACGGGCGCCGTCGAGGGGCGGTGCCTGTTTTTCCCCTCCCCCTGCAGTGTGCCGGCGGGGGGCGGATCCAGAATCATTACGGCGGCGGCATTGGATAAGGAACGTCTTCTTGGGGCACAGACCCTGGCGCATTCCTTACTGCTTCAAGGCGAGGTGGGTGGCCCACGTTTGGCCGCCCATCGGTCGCGAGACCCTGGGTTCCTTATCGAAGGTATCCTTGTCTAAAACCTCCACCGTATCGCAGTGCATGCGGACTTGAACTTTTGACGGCCGGCTGCTTGCGCGGTCGGCCCCTTGCTGGTCCCTTCGCGGCTGGCGCTCAAGAGAGGCGGGGGTCCTATTGCAAACGGGGGTCGGTCAGAGCGCAGGCTTGCCTGCCGGATCCTGCCGAGCCAGGGGTGCATTGACCCGGGCTTGCGTGCAGGGTCCTGCGAGATTCTGCATCGGGGGCGGAAAAGAGGGGGGTGATGACTAGGGGGAGGTGGATATCATGGCGGGGGCCATGATATTTCCCCAGACTTCATGGCGCCTCTTCTTGTTTCATGACGTCCCTGGCTCCCCCGCTGGGCCGCGCACATGCCGCCAGTCATGATCTGCACCCCCCCTATTGGACACCCCCCTCTTGGCCGCTCCCGACTGCAGGATCCTGCAATGCCCGACTGGCCCGGGCTTGGATTGACCCGGGCCAGTAGATCCCCGATGCTTTTTGTTCGTCTGCCGTCGCGCCCTGCCTCTGGTCGCGGTGGCTGTCGCGCCCTGCCTCTGGTCGCGGTGGCAGTTGGCCCCGGCTCTGGTCGCGGTGGTCGTTGCGCAGGGTTTGCCTGAAGTTGTTTGTCCTCGTTCGCGCGGAGGAGGCCGGGCTCTGGCCCCCAGGGCCGCTGGGGCCCATCTGCGCCAGGCATCCCGTTCGCATTTTCAGAGCGTGTTCCCGAGACTGCCGTTTCAGAGGTGCCCAGTCCAGGCTTCTGGGGAGGTGTTCGAAAAGCTGAGCGGCAAGCCCTGGAGATGTCGATGACGAGATGCGGGGTTACCGGCGGCGCGCACAGGGGGGTAGTGGGAGGGGGGAAGGCTTCTTAGAAGCACCCCTGCTTCTTAGAAGGCGCGGGGATGATCCATAGATGTAGGGCCAGCGCCTTCTAAGAAGCAGGGGTGCTTCTAAGAAGCCTTCCTCCCTCCCCCTACCCCCCTTGTATGCGCCACCAAGGTTAGGTGTTCTGCCGGTTCGCCGCAGCCTGGGGCAACACCCCTGCAGGTGGGCGCCCGTTGGCGAGCTGACTCCCACAGGGACGGTCCCACCCTTCTTCAGGAGGGGAATCACACGCATACAAAATTAGTCGTCGATTCCCAGGAGGATACGGGAAAATATGGGAAGGGGGGGGCGACGAACATCCAGAAAATATATGAGAACGTATTGGAAATCCTGGGACTTGTGTGTATTTATTTGTGGGTGTGTTGTGTGTGTGTGTGTGTGTGTGTGTCTGGGCCCCTTCATTTCTGGCCGCCAGGGCGACCAAAAAAGTAGCACCTGGACCTTGGGTGGTGTTGGCGGGGCAGCCGCCGAACCTCGGGCAGTGCCAAGGGGGGCCGCCACTTGGGGGGGCAGGCTCGCCACCTCCCGACCATCGAGAGAGGCGAGAGGGAGGGAGGATCGAGCATCGGGGAGGTTCCTGGACGTCTTCGAGCGCTGTTGGTGGTTGATTGCGGGGGGGGGTCCTGTGGGGGTCATCCTCCCCCTCCTACTCAGGAGGCGACGACCCCTGCGACCCCCCTGGCATTGCCTGTGCGACTCTGGCAGATCCACCCTGGCATCCACCCCCAGCTGTAGAGCAGGGCTGATGCTCCGCACCACGCCTTCATTGCAAACATGTGCTCCCCTCTAGCGGCTTCTCTCGCCTCCCCTGGCTCACACTCTGGACCCGCAGATGCATGCTTTGCTAGCCCCATGGGCTTCGCAAGCTGGCGACAGTAGAGCACGTCCCGCCCTGCACAATCCAGGAGTGCCACCAGTGCCGCATTGGGGGTATTGCCTCTGCGTAACCAAGGGACGTCGATCGCGCAATCGTTGCTGCCTCCTCTGTTTGCGCGTTCACAGGGCAGCGCCTGCGGCCCCTCGGCGCGCAGGAAAGGTCTAGCCTTCGCGCGAATTCTGGCGCGGATTCGGGCAGCGTTCCGCTGGGTTTCGGGCCAGGTTGGATCAGGGTTTTCGCATCCGAGGGACGGAGACCCGTGGCATGCCCCTGAGACTCCACAGAGACATGTCTTCCACTCTGGAGCGCAGTTCAATGCCTTTGCATCAGCTCCGCCGCGCCTCCCGCGTAGGGACGGCTTCCGGGCCGGTGGGCGCGTGTGTGTGTGTGTGTGTGTGTGTGTGTGTGTGTGTGCGTGTGTGTGTGTGTGTGCTGATTGTCGCCATCTGAGAAAAGCCTGGGCTTGGTGCGCACCGCGGGAGGGGCTGGTGGTCGGCGGGGAAGGGGCACCACCCCCGCAGGTGAAGCGCCTGAAGATCCGCTGCGGCCACTCCGCACGAGGCTGGCGCGCCGGAGCGCTGTCTTCTGCGCCGCCCCCTCGTTCCCCCTCGCTGGGGGCAGGCGAGGCGACGCCACCACAAGCAGACCCCGTTCGACCGCTTAGAAAGCCATCCTGGGGAGGTGGAAGAGGGGCGCACGTGTGACATGGGAGAACGAGTTTTCAGGCAAGTGGGAGCGCTCGGGGGGACAAGGAAAGTGGCAAAGCGGCACTCTCGCAAGTTGGAAGAACGGTGCAGCTATCGCCACCACCAGCGGACCACTTTTGGCGTGGAGGTCCACGGTGCCTTCCCGAGTTGGATGGATCGGGGGTGGTGGATCTTGCGCGACGCCGCAGGGCAGAGGGGCCTTCCGCCAGGAGGACCCCCCCGCGTGGCCGCTCGTGATGGTGGTGGTGGTGGTGCCGATGCTATGTCCGTCTGCCTGATGCCTCCCTCCCTCCCGTGTACTCACCCGGCCGCCCCCGCCTGGCTCGAGCGCGTTCTGGCCCGCGTCGCCTACCTCGGGGAGTGCGCTGCCTACCAGCTCCTCCTGTCGGGCCCTCTCCCAAGGGAAGACAAACCACCCCGACCCCCATAATCGGCGCTTATTGAACGGCCCTGGGTGCTTACTAAACAGCCCTGCCCTCTTCGATCCCTTCCCTGGGTGCGTTTGCTAACGGCTTCGATTGTCGGGGTGCCTATTCTGAGGGTGCTTGGCCGGCGTCGTCGCGCCAGGCTCAGCGTTGCCGCCGTGCGCACGGGAACGTGCGTGGCGCTTAATCGGCACTGGCCTCGCCCCACCATTCTTCTAAGCCTCCCAGATGAGGTCGGAGTAGATGGGGTCGGAGAATCGCGCCGCCTCGCCGATGCATCGCCGATGCGGCTCGATGTGGAGCCCGATTTCCTCCAACCCGACGGCTCCGGTACATCGCCGATGCATCGTCGATGCATCGGCGATGCAGCGGGATCCTCCGATTTTAATGTGAGCATGCGCTTGCTGCGCCGGCTGCGCAGTGAGGATGCGGTGTCCTGGCGTCCGTGCTTTCCTCTGGCCTTGGCCGCCCAATTCTGCGGGCGCCCTCCATCCTTGTCTTCTGGCTCCCTTGTGAGCGCCCACGGCTGTACCCTGACCCCAAAGGACTCGAGTCTCCCCCTCTGGTCGTCTCCTGCCTCCCAAGACTTCCCCTTGCCAGGCTCCAAACAATGTTTGTTGCCCACTTTCGGCCTCTGGGGGCCGTTGCTGTATTCTGGGATCGTCAAACAATGATTCGGAATGAAAGAATCGGGTCCCTGGGAGAAGATCCAGTTCCCCTGGACATCACGCTGGAACAACATCGCGACGTCGAGGGTCTGGGCCCTCAGTACCTCTCGAGCCAACGGCTCCGCTCTGGTTCGGTGGATCTTTGCACAGCGTCTGCCCTCCCTATACAGCAGCCTCGCATGGGTACGTCGGGCCCTCCTGCTGTCCCTCTGCCTTCGGGGTCCGTTCCAACCCCCTGCCCCTTGCTCGGCACCGATATACACATGGAGAGGGTCGGGGGCACCCACTGGGCGGCGCAGTTTCGGCCCTGTCTTCGCTTGCATTGGTGCCTTGCTCTGTCTCGTGAGGCCTGGAGTGCCAGGCTGGCGATCGAATGTCACATGGTGATCGCGAGGCCCTGTGGTCGCTTGCCGACGGCCCTTCGAAAACGCCTCACCTGATGTGAAAAGGCTACCACGGAACTTGGCGGATGCCTGGTGGCGGGGCCGGGTCGGTGCCCGCCTCGAAAGTGTGCCGAGGAGGAGGAAAAGGGAGAGGAGGAGAGGAGGAGGGAGGAGGAGGAGAGGAGGGAGGGAGGAGGAGGAGGGGGAGGGAGGAGAGGGAGGGAGGAGGAGGAGGAGGGGGGAGAGAGGGCGGAGGAGGAGGAGGAGGAGGAGGAGGAGGAGGAGGAGGAGGAGGAGGAGGAGAGAGAAGACAACGCCTGCATCGGAGGCACCCTTCAGACCGACCACCTGACCCGTCCTTGTCCCCAGGCTCTCAGCGGGAGCTTGGAAGGGGCAGGAGAGGAGGCGAAGCGGGAGCCCAGGCCCTCGGGCTTCGCCAACCATGCGGGGGATGAGGGGGAATATGGCCCTCGTACTCGTCGTCCTTTCCTTTTTTTCCTCCTCCTCGTCCTCCTCCTCCTCCTCCTCCTCCTCCTCCATTCCTTCTTCTTATGCATAACTTCTCCCTGTCGCACCCCGAAGCCAGTGTTTTGGGCGGGCTGGGCGTTTCGCCTGAGACAGTCTCACCATTTATGACCCTGAAGCTTAAACGTTGACAACAGCTTCACAGATGGAGGGCGGCTGGTTTTCAAAATGTGGCTCTCGCCTTAACGCCGCATACATTCGCCTTCAACATGTGCAACAATTTCACGGGTTGAAGGCGGGTCGTTTTCAAAAAAATATGTTATCGCTTCAGCGCCGCGCGCATTCGTTATCAAACATTGCAAGAGCTCCATGGATTGAGGGCGGGTTGTTTTAAACATATGATTCTCACCTTAGCGCCGCGCGCATTCGTTTTCAATATTTGCAAGAGGTTCACGGATTGAGGGCGGGTCGTTTTCAAAATGTGGCTCTCGCGGTCATGCAGCGAACATTGTTTGTTTGTTTGTGCGACATCTGCAAGAGCTTCACGGATTGAGACCGGGTCGTTGTCAAAATGTGGTTCTCGCCCTAACACCGCGCACAATCGTCTTCAACATTTGCAAGAGCTTCACGGACTGAGGGGGATTTATTTTCAAAATGTGATTCTCGCCCTAGCGCCGCGCACATTCTCATGATCGGCGTACTAGACATGGTGTGTTGGAAAGATTCATCATTATGAGGGCGCAACAGTTACGATGATTCGCGGTGTTGAAGTCCCCAAAAATGGCGGTCTGGCACGAATCAGGATCTTCAAGACTCGACAGTCAGGTTTATCCGTGGCGTTGGAATACAAAGAAGAATGTTTGGGCATGCCTCAGGGTCTTCAAACGGCTGTCTTCCAACGAGGCAGTTCCCTCTGTTGGGGGGAGGAGTTATTCCAACATCGTTGGTGACTCTTGGGTTTACTCTGATCCTCCTCCTTCCCCTCCTTCTCCTCCTCCTCCTCCTCCTTCTCCTCCTCCTCCCCCAATCCTCCTCCTCCTTCTCCTCCTCCTCCCCCAATCCTCCTCCTCATACATAAATTCTCCCCGTCGCACCCCGAGGCGTCGCAGGGGGGTTCGCCTGAGACTTCTTCACCGAGTCTGAAGCTTAAACAATGCCAACAGCTTCACAGATGGAGGTCGGGCCGTTTTCAAAAAATGTGGGCTGTGCCTTAGCGCCGCGTGCTTTCGTTTTCAAAAATTGCAAGAGTTTGCCTGATTGAGCGCGGTTGTTTTTGTTGAGTGGCTCTCGCCCTGGCGCCGCGCAATCCGTTTTCAACAATTTGAAAGAGCTTCACGGATTGAGGGCGGGTGGTCTTCAAACTGTGGTTCTCGTCTTGGCGTCGCTGGCATTCGTGTTCAAAAATGGTAAGATCTTTACGGATTGAGGGCGGGTGGTTTTCAAAATGTGGTTCTCGCCTTAGCGCCGCGCTTTTTTCAAAATTTTGCAAGGGCTTCACGGATTGAGTGCGGGTCGTTCTAAAATTGTGGCTCTCGCTTCAGCGCCGCGAGCATTCATTTTAAACATTTGCAAGAGATTCGCTGATTGAGGGCGGGTGGTGTTCAACATGTGGTTTTCGCGTTAGCGCCGCGCTCATTTTCCATAACAAATTGCAAGCGTTTCGCGGGCTCCCATGATCAACGTACCAGAAATGGTGTGTTCGAAGGATTCAGGATTATGCGGATGCAGCGGTGCAACAGTTTGTTGACTCGCGGTGTTGAAATCCCCAAAATGGCGTTCTGGCACGGTTCCAGATCGTCAGGACGCAACAGTCTGGTTGTTCCGTGGCGTGGAAATCCCGACAACAATGTTCTGGCAGGTTTCAGGGTCTTCCAACGGTTGTCTTCCAACGAGGCAGTTCCCTCAATGGAAATGATCCGTTGTAGGGGCCTGTGAAGAGGGAGCTTGGAGGGAGAGTTTATTCCAACATCGTTGATGACTCTTGGGTTTTCTCTGGCCTTCCTCCGCCTCCTCGTCCTCCCCCTTCGTAAGTGTCCTCCTCGTCCTCGGCAATTTCCTCCTCCTCCTCGCCCCTGTCCTCGTCCTCGTCGTTCCTCCTCCTCCTCCGCCTCCTCCTCCTCCTCCTCCTCCTGCGTCCTTGTCCTCCTCGTCCTTGACCTCCTTCTCCTCCTTCTCCTCCTCCTCGCCCCCGTCCTCGTCCTCGTCGTCCTCCTCGCCGTTCTCCTCGTCGCAGTCGTCTCCGCCGTCGTTCTTCTTCCCCTCCCTGGTCTCCCAGGCCTCGGAGCGGTCCGAAGTCATCGCGCCAGAATTTGTCTGCTGTCCTCGTTGCGTACGGAGGCCGTCTCTGGGGCCGGTCCGGGAGAATGAGTCGAGAGCTCCCAGGGCCAACGTCCGGGGCGACGATCGGTGGGGGGGGGGGGATGGGCATAGGAGGGGTGCATCGACCCCCAATGGCCCATTGATCGCCGATAGGGGCCTAATGGCCCCAACCTGCCCAGGAACGTGCGGATTCATTATCGGGGGACTATCGCCGATCTATCGCCGATGTATCGCCGATTCCAGGTCGATGCTGCCCCCCCTATCGTGCCGCTCACGGCTACGCGGATAACACGCTGGCTGAGGCAACTCAAGTGGTTCCGTGACGGCGGCGCTGGAGAGGTGTACCTCCTCACCAAACAAGAGTAGGCAGGCCCAGTGGTTCACCCACAAGGGCAGGAGCGTCAGACCCAGATTTGCCCAACTTCGTGAGATCACGTGTCTCAGGGCGGAGATGGCTGCCAAACTCTGGGGATGCCGCGTGGCCTCGGTATCATTACGAACGGGCCATGGATGACGGGGAGTTGGTCCCCCGCATCCCACTCCCCTTGCCCCGCATTCCACTCCCCTTGTTTTCCAGTAGCGCACTTCTGATAGGACCGCGCCCACAATGCCAGACGCGGGTGGGTCGCGGCTCCCTGCTGCGCACGAGCCAAACTGCAAGCGGTGGAGAGGAGGGAGCCAACTGAAGAGCCTGGGAGACTGGAAGGAGGACGGTAACGATGACTACCATGCAGCGCGATCCTCCGACCGCTCGGACCGAATTCGGGCGACGAAAGAAAACGAGGACAACTGCGCGGACACTCGCGCGCAAGCTTGGTCGCTATGTTTCTTGGCGTAAGTGAAGATGTTCATTCTCGCTCATTCAGGCGGCAGTACTTTAGATTCGTGTCGTGACGACGTGGCCAGACAGAAGCGCTGCAATGGCGATCGGGACGAACCGCGCCGGAGCGGCAGCGCCGAGCCTCTCAGCGCTGGTGCCAGGCTCGCCGCCTTCTTCGCGGGGCGCTCGTGGCCGCAGTGCGTTGCACAAGGACCAGGCCAGGTCTGCTGCCTTCGCTGCGGTGGCAGCGCCGGGACCGCGGCAGCCATGCCAGGAGGCGCGTGCCCGGGGTGGCAGGAACGCTTGCCACCGCGGGGGCAGGCTTTGCTGCTCTTCGGCAACCTGCGTTGTGTCGGGGGCGGCGCAGCCGAATTCGCCGTTCGCGCTGCGCGCCGCATCGCGCAGTTGCCGAAGGTGCCCGACCAAGTCGGGCGTGGCCTTTGGGTGCCTTGCGGCCGCGCCGTCGCCCGAGCCTGCTCTCGCAGTCGCCGCGCGGGCTGTGCCGACAACGCGCCCGCCCGCGGGGCGGCGCCCGACGCCAGTGACCGAGGCGCTGCCGAGAGAGGCGCTCCGCGCCCCGCGCCGGGCACCGCCACGGCAGGGCCCAGCAGCACCGCCGCGCGCGCACCGGCCCCGCGGGGGAACGCCCTCCCTCGCGGAGGGGGCACGTGGCCATGTCCGCGGCCTCGCGGTCTGGGCGCCCAGGCGGCCAGCCCGTGGATACGGGGCGTCGTGTTCGCGGATGCCCCCGCGCGGAACGCATCCTTGCGAGCGCGTATCCCCGAGATGGCGCAGTGGGATCCAAGCCGCGAGGGCGTGGATGTGGATACGTGCGTCGCTCGTGGCCCAACGCGGACTGATGTTTCCAGATCCCCCGCCTATGCCCCCAGGGGACCCGCTCCCGTCGGTTTCGCGCGCTCGCCTCGCCTCGCCTCTTTCCCTTCCTCTCGCAGTGAAGCGAACTGGTCCTGAGGTAAGCGGGTCCTGAGGTCTTTGTCATTTTTCCAGTCCTCAGGTTTTTATCAGTTTTTTGGGGCCCTCCCCAGGACAGAAACAACGACTCCAGAAACAAAGTTTGTCTGGTGGGAAGGCCCAAGGGTACAGGACTCGTTTCCCTCAGTACCAGTCTGATTCATACCAATTGCTTCTGCAATCTGCGCATCAGCAACTTAAGCTCAGCCACTGCTCGGCGCCTCGGCGGCTGCAATTCCACGAATTGTGCTGCTTATCGCGCACACGTGCCCAGTCATTACCCAGCTAAGCATGTATCGCGCGCCTCCTCCTCCTCCTCCTCGCCCTCCTCCTCCTCATCCTCGCCCCCCCTTACCCGTCCCTCTAGACACGCGACCCCCTGGACCATCCCAGGGGTGCGCTCCTCACGCAAGAATTTCGACGGACAGCGGGTCTTGGCGACGAGAAGCTTCCCGGATGCCGGAAAGGCCGAACTTGTCCGACAACCTCTGTGCTCGAACCTTGATCCTCTCTCCTTTTCCCCCCTCCCATCCACCCCGCGCGCGCGGACCCCCTGAGGCCTCGAAGGGGCCTGAGCGGGGCAGGGGTCGCTCTCCGACGGGGGACGCGCGCGAGCCGGCCTTCGGACGCCCAAGGGAGGAGTGGCCTTTGGGCGCGCTGTTTGCCCTGGGGCCGGGAACAGTCATGAACGGATGTGGCTGGGCGTGTGCTCAGAGGGTGAGCGATAGATTGGCTGACGATTCAGAGGCTCTCGTTCGAACCTTTCCGAAAGCGGTCCACCGAGTCATGGGCAGCCCGCCGAGCTCCGACGATGCCTGGACCGACCCTTTCTGGTCCTCCTCCCAGGGATTCCGAGGGCTGAGGGTGGATGCGCGAGCGAGCATCGGGCCGCGTTTCGGGGAGCTGGTGGCCATCTTTTTCACGATGCCGGCGGGCATCGCGTGGCTGCTCTGGCCGCTCGTTCAAGAGAAAATGTGCGCCTCTCGCTGCGTGTGGGGGAGGGGGGAGGAGAGGGGACGATTGCGACCAAGGTAGGGGCTGGAAGGGTTCAGGGGAGGGGGCTAGAATAATGTGGAATTTGGGTAATCGACGGAGGAGAAGGATGAGGGGGAGGAGGGGGAGGAGGAGGAGGAGGAACCTGCTGGGAGCCGAAAGGCATATCTCAGGGAGGGGCCACATACTCTACCCGACATACACAGCTGTTTCCATCACATTATTAGACTTAGCAGCTACCGTCGTAGCAGCCAGGCTCAAACAAGCGATATCTACATCAATCGCAGCTGCCATTGCCTTACATATTTGAGCCATGCTTCTGCAGCAAGCGCCCTCCAGATCATCTGACGATGGCACGTTTGCTGTACACGATGACCAGTGGGCCAATGCCACTAGATTCATCATCCTTCCATCCTTCTCGATACGCATGACATACTCGGAGAAGTCCGACCACCAACGCACCAAGGAGTGGAAGAGATTGATGGACCAGCAATACAGAGAATCCACATAACAATACGAAGACGATTGCACCGACGACCTACCACCACTTCTCAAGACACGACGCAAAGAACCCAACACCAGTTGTTGCGCACGGCCACCCCCGCGCAACAATATGAGCCAGACTCAGCACAAGTATTACGGTCACAAGTACAACCCTACAGACAAGACAAAACGACCGACGCAATAATCGACACGTGCTACGTCTACATACCCCTACACTTGCGATACGATTGCGTACCAGTGCCCACGGCCAAAGGATGGGCACGTTCAAAGAGAGAGAGAGAGAGAGGGCGACCCACATCATAGTTGCCTACCCGACCAACATCAACCGACACTACTTCATGCTATTACAACAATGGCCCCAACGCGCTCTAGACAGGTGGAAGACATACTCATCACACACCCGCATCTCAACGCACTCGTCGCAGAGACCAGCCTACATAGACGACAATGGCGATACTGTCCAGGACGTACGCCGTGGACCGCTCATCCAAAAACTTTGGGACGACCTCAGCAGCGACATCGACAACGACATGGTACGACTACGGTGCTCCTACTTCAACGAAGACGGCACTGAAAAGAGCCTCGAAGAGGCAATACGATATCCACTACCAGCAAAATGGCAATACATACGGGGTCGAGATGGACGAGGACCGCGGCATACGCACTAAGTTCACCAAACACGGTTGACGATACCACTTTTTTCAGTTCAATGACCGCCCATCAACACAATACCAGCACAGGTTCAGAGCTCTTGTCTTTGACCTACTACCTTGGAGATGCCCTCCGCACATCAGGTGCATCACCGCTACGCCCACCCTGGGCTACATGCGTAATGCAAAAAATAGCGTAAACACATCGGACCACCTTCCACATACCAACAACCAGAGTACGCGGAACTACGTGGCCCATCAGATTACGAGTGCCAACTACTGGACCAATGGACCGGATCAGTACGTGAAACATTTGACCAATACCAACGCCCTACGCCACCAATGCGCTACGAGCTGATCTGACCAACGTCTGCCAAACCCATGTGGCCCCATATGCTGTGCCACCTGCTCCCTACACCCATCCAGGACTTGCGCCCCAGCGTGTCTTGCATATACCACGGTCGCACTCCCAACTACATCCTCACACATCCCACGCTGATAGTACCACGCCCAAGCGGGCCACGCTTCAGCTTCAGAGCACCAAGGTTCACCAGGACGAGAGACGGAGTCAGGATACCCACTGACATCCCAGCTGGCCATCCCCACTACAACTTCGTACAAGGCCAATCCGCAGAGATCTCCATTACGATTTCGCACAAGGCTCGTTTGTAGAAGACCAACTCGTCCAACTTGATTCATGCGGTTTTAGTTTCACCTGGCTGGGGGCGAAGAAGGTTACGTGTCGCGGATACGTTTTCGAGCCGAGATTGGAAAGAGAGGGAGAGAGAAATAGGGAGAGAGAGAGAGAGAGATAGAGACAAAAGAGAGAGAGAGAGAGAGAGAGACAGAGCGGGGAGCGGGGGAGGGAAACCGTGGTGTGTAGGAGGGCGGGGAGGGAGAGAGAGAGAGAGACATAACAACAAACAAGGAGAGAAAGACAGAGAGAATGCTTGGTGAGTGCGCACAAACAGATGTGACGAGAGCATTGTTTTGAAGTGTTCTGGCCACATGTCCTTGCTAGAATGTAGAAGATCTTGGGCAACCTGTTGCCAAGACGTCTCCAGCGATAATTCGCTGTCAAGGGACGAGCAGCACACCGCAATCCCTTTAAGTTGCGTTTTACTAACCAGTCTTGATCGTTTTGCTATGTTCGATTATTCACAACAGTGCGTTCACCAAGCGGTGGCATCGCTTGTATTCTGCATAGCGTGAGGGTCGTCGTTTTGACCTCAAGCCAGTTGGTGATGGGCACTTGGCGCATCATTGCATGTGCAGTGGTTTTCGAACCATATTTCTCACTCGGCAATGTGCCAAGCGATACGTGCATAGTGGAATCCGCCCGCACTCCATTCATGTAGCTGCTAGATGCGTCAAGCGTTCTAGTGTTAATCCGTCCCTGCGTGTGGTAGCAATAACTCACAGATCACTTACCCGAGCGTCAAGTTTTACGTTTCGAGGCCGCGACAGCATCTCAGCCCAGAGCCGCATTTGAAATTGCCCGCCCTTCGCCAGCGCAGCAGCTGGGAAAGCCAAACTGTGTATCCACACACTTCGTGAACGTGTCACACGGAGCGCCCGTCACGTCTGGTGTTGTTGCGAGGCATGTGGAGGAGTGGTGTGCAAGGGCGAGGGATTCAGGGGGAGGAATTCCCCCTTTGCCTGTTGATCTTTTCCTCATCCCTCTCTGTTTCCTTCCTTCCACCCCCCTCATCCTTCGCATCCCCCTGTTCCCCCCTCCATCATGCCTCCGCTTCCGCCTCCTTTTCCTCATCCATGGCGGCCGAGGCCTCAGGCGCGTCGCCTCCTCTCTCCTCATCCTCATGACGCCTTCTCTCATGTGTCTTTCCCGCTTCCTCCTCCCCTCCCAAATCATCCCGCTTCCCCTCATCATCTGTCGTCTTCACACCCACTGTTTCTTTGCCTCCTCGTCCTCATTCGTCCATCTTCATTCCCCCCTCCTAGTTGCCGTCATCGTCACCATCACCGTCGCCATCACCATCATCATCATCATCATCATCATCATCATCATCATCATCATCATCATCATCATCATCATCGACATCATCATCATCATCATCATCATCATCATCATCCTCATCATCCTCATCATCCTCATCCTCATCCTCATCCTCATCACCATACTCATCATCATCAGCATCATCACCATAATCATCATCGTCTCTCTATCCTGCTTTCTCCAGCTTTCCTTTGTCCTGTCTGTCCCTGCGCCTTCCCCTCTGCTCCCTCCTCCCCCTCCCCCCCTCTTCGCGCTTCCCCTTCTCCTTCGTCTTCGCTCCTCATTTTCTTCCTTCCCCTCATCCTCATCATTGTTCCTTACCCTCCTCCTTTCCGTTACCCTCTTCTTCCAATTCGTCCTCTTCTCCTTCTTCGTTTTCTCTCTCGTCATCCTCCTCTTCTTCCTCCTACCCTCCCCCTTTCTCCTCCTCCTCTGCCCCCGCCCCCTTCTCCTCCCCCTCCCGCTGCGACCTCCGATTCCGTCGACGACCAGGGCGGCGACCAGGGCGGCGAAGGCGACCGCGGTGGGGGCGGTGCCGACGCAGACGAAGCCAGCGCCGACGCCGGCGCCGACACCGGCGCGGACGTCGACGAACCTGGCCGAGGGAGAGGGGGGGAAGGCGGCCGCCAGCCCCGCGCTGTCGCGGCAGCTGAGGCCGGGCGCGCTGCCGCGGGACCAGCAGGCGTCCTGGCCCTCTCTGGCGTTGTGGCCTCCGCCGCCCTGTAGCCCTCAAGCGGGAGCCGTTGCTTTGTGCTTGTTCCCCGTGGGAGTACGTAGCCAGTTCTGAGCCCCTTTCTGTTCGCCCCCCTCCCCCTCCTCCCTCCCCGCTTGTTGTTATTGTGTTCATTTTTGTTGTTGTTATTTGTTTTGTTGCTTGTTCCCCTCCTCAGTCTTCTCCCTGTCCCGTCTCCTCCCCCTTCCCATTCCTCCTCTCATCATCCTTTCTGTCTTCTTTCCTTATCATCCTTCTTCTCGTCGCGATTATTCCGCCCCCGTCTCCTCCACGTCCTTCTCCTCCTGCTCCTCCTCCTCCTCTCACCTCTCCTCGTTGCCCTCCATCCTCTCCACCTCCCGCCCACCTAGAATATTCCGCGCTTCTTCCCCTCCCCCTTCACCAGGAGTATAGCAGGAGGCTGTGGGTGAGGAGGGTTGGTGAGGGGTGGCGTTTTTTAGGTCTGGAGGTGGGGTACTGTTGTTTTGAATAAAGGAGGGGCACGCTGGAGGAGGAAGGGGAGGGACATCAAAGGGGAAGCGAGACGAGACACAGGAATGACACAATGTTGTGAAACGAAGAAGCATCTTTGGGAGGCATGGGAGGATGAGGGATGGAGCAGAAGCAGGGAGGAGAGAGGAGGAGGCGGAGGAAAAGGATGCAGGAGGATTGGCAAAAGGACGGGAGCAACAAAGGAGA